TCACGGACTATGACGTTAGCCGAAGGGTTTGTTAAGACTTTATTTGTGGCTGAGTGCATGATACATATTTAAACAATTTTTTTAAGTTCATTATTTGCCAGGTATTTGTCGACCACCTACTACGTGCCAGATGCCGTTCTAGGTGGTGGGGGCACAGCCGCGAGCTGGTCAGTCCCTGCTCTCATAGAGCTCACTTTCTATCGGCCGAGACTGACAAGAAAAAAACAAGTAAACTATCATTTCCGATAGGGGAACCTGGCTGAGGAGGGTGTCTTCTCTTTCCCGTTTTCATTTGGGTTCATGTTCAGACCTATAATCGACAAGAATCTGTGCTGTCACACAGGAGTCCAGTGTGCTGCTTCCCCACCGAAATCTCAGTTACCCCAGCCCCATTTAGGGAAATCTGGTTCTTTCCCCCGGGTTCTGAGGCCCTTCCTCTGTCACCGGTGTCCCAGTCCCGTGTCTGTGTGTTTGTGGGTCTGCGGATGGGCTCTCCCCTCCGACCCCTTTTTTTCTGCGTTCCTCCCCTGCACCACAGCCAGGCTGCTGTCTGCTGGGTCCTGTCTTCTTCCTGGCTCTTCCCTCAGCTTTCTGTCCTGACCATTAGGAGACTTTTAGCTCTTTGTATGCAAAACTCTTAGCTTGTCAAACTTCACAGAATTTCCTTTCTAACTCTTGGGGGTGTGATCGAGATCGCACCCATCCGTAACTCACTTTGGGGAGAACTGAGTGCTCAGTTACGGAGTCTCCCCAGCCATGAATGTGACAAGTGCCTTTATTTGTTTAGATATTTTTTAGTTTTTCATTAAATTTTGTAATTTTTCCTATAGAGTTACTTCAAGTTAAAAAACACTTTTCTCTTTTTAAAAACTGACTCCCATCCAAATATAACACGGAATCCTGGATTGGATCCTGGAACCGGAAAGGGACAGTAGTGGAAAAAGTGGTGACATTCAAACAAAGTCTGTGGTCCACTTCACAGTGTCGTACCTGTGTCGTTATAATGGTTTTGATGAAGGGGTTATGGTTGACATTAGAAGGATCTGGTCAGGTATGTGCAGGAACCCTTTGTAGCACCTGCATGACTTCTGTAAATCGGAAACTATTTCAAAATGAAGTTTCAAAAATCAACATGTTGATTGGCTTATGTATTATTTAAATATGCATACTTTCAATTACGTATAAGGTACCATAAATGAACCCACCATGGTAGTGAACACTGAGCAGGGTTCTGACTACAGGGGTGACTAGTGTATGCGAGGAGCCCCGGGAAAGGCTGTCTGGGAAGATACTGGGTCAGGAGTAGTGGACAAAGTTCTGGAAAACGAGCTCAAGGAAGGGCAGCAAGTGCAAAGGCCCTGAGGTAGGAACGTCAGAGCCTGTAACTCCGCCCCTGCCTCCCCAGGCCTGCAGAGAAAACTTCTGAGAGTTGAGGGGAGTGCTATTACGTTGGCAGGGGCATCGAGGGAGGAGGATCTGGCGGGTGGGGCTGTGGGCAGACGGAGTGGATAGAACTGGGGCAGGTAGGGGCCCGGGCAGGGCCTGGCAGCTCCCACCGGCTGGGTGGGCATGCAGACCCCCTGCTCATGCTTCTCATCACTGGGGTTCTGTGAACCTCAGTGAGTGGCCCTCTCTGGCTGTTGTTGGATTTCTGCATGCCACCGCCCCCCCCCCCAACCGCCAAGTACAGGACCCACTCCTGAGTGGAAAGATGCCCCCACCTCGTCCTGAGCTGGGTCTGCGTCCCCCAACCCCAGGCACTGGTTTCTCACTTCTCACCTGGGAAACTCAGGCTCAGAGAAGAGTGATGGAAACGATGGGGTAGACTACACCCCCTCTCCCATGCTGATGCCCCTGGGGGCCAGTGTGGGACCCTGGCTGCAGGACCCCCAGCCTCAGATACCACCCACCTTCCTCAGTCAGAGACTTTGGACCCTGAGCGTGGGGTGGAAGTGCCCCGTGCCGGTCTCCTCATCTGTAAATGTGGCTGGTGGCTCTGGAGCAGGGACCCCCTAGGCGTCACTGCCGGCAGCCCCGCCCTGGCCGAGCTAGCCTGGCCGCCCCGGCTTCTGCGCCAGGACGGCAAATGGCATGTTGGGTTTCTGTGCCAGGAACAAGCTTCCCACGGTTTCTGCCGTGGCGCCGGCTGCCCTTCGAATTCCCAGCCAGGTGGGGCTTCCGGAAGTGTGTTTGCGCAGCAGTGGAGGCCATGCAGGGGAGGGTGGGGGGCCAGTGGTCCTTGCCACATGGCATCGTGGATGCCCCAAAGGGTGGTCCCATTCAGACAGTGAGTGGCTTTGCAGCCAGCCGGTGTGGCACGAATCCACACCGCTGCAGTGACCTCTGGTCCCCTTACCCTGGTCTAGGAGAGGCCATCCAGCCTCCCAGGGCCACCCTTCCGACTGAGGGACTAGCTCCTCCTTTGGCTTTCCCTAACCCTCTGGCCAAATGGACCCACCCAGAGCTCAACTAGAGGCAAGACAAGAACGCCAGGGACCCTGGGGAGCCCATGAAACTCAGAGCCAGAAGGGTCCTAGGCAAGCCTCCCCTCCCAGGCCCACACCTGGTGTAGCAGAGCTCAGCACACAGCTGGTGCCCAATAAATGCATATTTGATCACTAGGCCTATAGCCCATGTGATGCGTTGGAGAAGCGGGTTTAGAGGCCGCCAAGTAAGGGCGCCCCCGCAGCCCTCACCCCTCCCAGGAGAGGTTTACCAGTTCTGCTTTAAGACATCAGTCCTTCCTAGGAGGGAGGAAAAGCAGCTGGTCACTCTCACTTTAGTGTGAATTAGCTTGTTCAAGGGGGGAGATGTACATTGATGCTCTGGTTGGCCAACAGGCCAAACAGGTGGGGGAAATTGCAGCTGCTCCCTGGATTGTGGGCGTTTGTTCCTGCCCCCCCTCCCCCCGCCCCCGCCAGAGGTAGCAGCAGCGCCAGGAGGCACAGAGAATCTGCTTCGTCATCTGGGCAACTATTGGAAGAGTCAGTGACTAGACTCTATGACCTGCTTTCCCTTGAAACACTGGCTTCAAATATGCTTTACAGAATTCTGCAGATGTGCCTGAAAACTGACCCTGAGGTTTTAGTTTTCTGTTAGTCTGGATCCGTGTCAAAATGCCTGGTACAGGAGGACTCCCTGTCCCCACAGTGACATGGTGGCAAGTTGCCCTTAGCCTCTCCATCCCCCGAGACCCTGTGGTAGTTTCCAGCAGCTAAGAAGGCCCACGGTGTAGGTGTGGCCCAGCCTGACAAACATCTAGTTTTCGGCCCAGAACACTCAATCAAAGAGTTGTCCTATTGCCACCAATAGCCGGTGGCCTTCCAAACTTCTTCCTCTGCTCACCGGGTGGAGCGGGGGTGGGGGGGGGTGTCACTCCCGAGTAACAGGCAAAAGCAGCATATGGCACAGATATCTGCAGGGAGGGGACTCTCTCCAGGTTCAGTACTACACGGACCTATGCAGTATCACGTGAGTGCGGTACTACAAGGACATGGAAAGAGAGGATCAGAACATGGAGTCGCTGCATGTGGAGAGAAGGGGGCAGTACGGAGCTGGGCCTCAATGCCAGTGTGGGGATGGGGGCCCTTCTGGAGAGGGGCAGTCGTGTCAGCGCCCACCTTCACAAACTTACCTGAGGGGTTCTTGTGTGTCTCCACCTTGCTGTCCACCTCACTGTTCGTGCCCAAGGCGTGGACTCGGCTAGCCCTGGGCCGTGCTTGTGAGGGCTCATCCCGGGACCAGAGGACAGAGGCAAGACCCTCAGGGGCCGGTGCCGGCGAGGCCGACGGAAGGGTGGGAGTGGGGCTGGGCAGTCACTGGCCCTCGCTCAGGGTCACAGGAGGTGGATGGCAGGCACAGGGGAGCCCTGGGGTAGGTGGACCCATTATGGATGCGGCCAGTTCCCAGGAAGCCTGCAGGGGTGAGGGGAACGCTGCCTCGCTCCCACTGGCCATGCGGGGGCGCCCCCACGGGCTGACCGCCCCGGGCTGAGATCGGCGCCCACCAGCCCCGCCGACGGTGCCTGTGAGGGGGGCCGCTCCGCTCCCAGCAGCCACCGGGGGCCAGGGCCCACTGCGGTGCCAGCCGAGCTCTGAGGCTGTAATTACGTGTCTCTGTCCTATGGGCCGAGTCACGGAGGGCGTCCGGGAAGGTGTTTTGTTGTCGCCTGTGAATCAGGAGCTCATGAGAAAAGTGGTGGCTGGTGCAGCAGAGAAATTAGGGCCTTGGTGCTACGGCACACGGCCCCCAGCCGCTCTGCCCGCCGCCCTCAGCCCCTGCTGGGAGCCTCTGCAGACACCGAACCCCCGAGCCCCCGTGCTCCTGCATTCAGCCACTCCTTCCAGCACCTTCGGAATGCTGTGCTTGTTGGACACGAGAGCCAGAGGAGATACACGCCAGGGGCTCCCGGGCCCACGTGCACACGCCATACGCACACATCCTCAGCTGCAAGCGCACACACACACGCACCCGCGCGTGCGTGCGCGCGCACACACACACACGTACACACACACATCCGCAGCTGCAAGCACACGCGCGCACGCACACACTTCAGATGCAAGCACACACACACACACACACCCGCGCGTGCGCACACACACAAGCACACACACATCCGCAGCCTCAACCACACATGCGCACACATCCTCAGCTGCAAGCACACGTGTGTACACGCACACCCCCGCGCGCGCGCACACACACGCACACACATCCGCAGCTGTAAGCACACGCGCACACACACCCGCGCGCGCGCACACACACCCGCGCGTGCGCCCACACGCTCACACACACACGCGCGCATCCGCGGCTGCAAGCGCACGCGCACACACACATGCCAGCACCGCGGGCGCACGTCCACACTTCCTGCCAGCGCTGACCTCCGCCCGACACTCACGCAGGCCAGGCTGCCCCTGACGGCGGGGAGCGCTCCGGAACCAGCGGAGGGGGGTGGGGCGGGCCTGGACCCTCGCTGGCCAGACTCACCGGCTTTCTGTCCTCAGGGGCCACAAAGGACATGGGGAAGATGCTCGGGGGTGACGAGGAGAAGGACCCCGATGCGGCCAAGAAGGAGGAGGAGCGCCAGGAAGCCCTGCGGCAGGAGGAGGAGGAGCGCAAAGCCAAGTACGCCAAGATGGAGGCGGAGCGCGAGGCCATGCGGCAGGGCATCCGAGACAAGGTGGGCGCGGGGCCTGGGGGGCTGCCCCGCACCCTCTCCTTCGCCTGGCTCCATGGAGCACATCTCTGGATTGCACACTCTGGAGCCCACATCAGCTACCCAGGCTCGCCAGGATGAGGGTTCACCCGTGGGCCGCGTCTTTGCTGCTCTTACCAGTGGGGCCGTAACGAGGGGGGCGCCCTGCTCTTACAGTGGGGCTGGCCATGGTTTCCCCTGCCCCGCCTGATCGCTTTTCCAGCTATTGCGGGATTAGGCAGGAGCAGTGAGTCAGGACCTGCCTCCAGAGGACCCACCAGCAGCGAAGATAGGGGTGTGTTGGGGAGCAGACACCTGCTGGGATCTGCCTGATCACCCCAAGCTGAGTGTGCCAGGTGGGGGCCTTGCCTCTGTGGCTGCAGAGCTAAATGAGACAGCGGCCGCCTGGCCAGGCATCGGTGGGGGAGCGGTGCTGGGCGGATGGGGACGATGGTGAGCCCCTCCACCCATGGGTCAGAGGCAGCTCCGGAGGGGTTCCGACGCGTTCTGTCGCTGGAGCCCCAGGTCTTCCCGGCCACACCACTCTAACCTCCGGAATTTGGCCCCCTCCCTCCTATGAGCCTTCAGCTCGGGAAAAATACCCACCTGCCCCAGAGTCCCCCAGAAATGGAAGAATGGGGGCTGGGGGTGGCTGTGGCTGGGGGAGATCTGGCCCCCTTGCCAGCAGCTGTACTGAGTGGTGAGGGCAGCATGCCCGCTTGGGTGTGGGGAGCACCTGGTCCCCTCTGCACCCAGCACCATGGAGTGACCCAGCCCCCGGGTCCTGCCCCTAAGAGAATCTGCCTGACTCTCATGTCCGCTGAGCCCTCTTCCACCTGTCCAGGTAACCCTCCCCACTTTCTCCTGCGCCTGCCCTTCAGATGGGGCTCCCCCAGATTATTCTCGCCGGGTCCCGCCCACAGACCTTCACCCCGGCACACAAATGTGCCCGCCTTGTGTGTAGACACCCTGTGGCTTCAGGGGTCTGTTGGACTCTGTGCCCTCGGCTGGAGGGAAGCTCTCTTTGGTCTGACCTAGTTTCTGGAAGTGTTTCTCTCCCCCGCCCACGCTCCACCCCACAGGGCTCCAAGCCACATGTCCCTCCTTTCCTTTCCAAGCCCAAGGGCCACTGCCGTCCACCGTAAGGTTGTCCCAGAATGGTGACCCAGGAAGAGGGCCTGTGCTTCTTGGGCGAGGGAGTGCCTGGTGTCCGGGCAGCTTGTGACACGCCGTGCCTTTGGCTGACCTGATATCAGTGCTCAGTAGGGAGGGCCCTCTGGTCAGTGTGCCCGCTGCCAAAGAGTTCTCGGGGTGCCCTCGTCAGGTCCTCATCGAGACCCTCGTAGCACTCCTGGCAGTTTGTTCAGGGTACATAGGGGCGTGTGGGCTGCTCAGGGCTCCTGCTGAAGGAACCTAGATAAACCCTTCATTCCTCTTTCCTCGATGTCTGACAGTTGCCCAAGGGGGCCCCAGCTCTGGTCACGGCTGGGCAGAGAGCAAGGCTCCCCGCCCCCCTGATTGCTGCTGAAGGTGGCCCTTGCCTCCCCCGTGCCTGAAGCCATCTGCAGCTTCAGAGAGGAGAAGGTGCAGAGGTTTCCTTCAGTACCTTTAGCGAGCTGCGGGGGGGGGACATAGCAGCCCCCCGACATCCGGAAGCAGAAGGAAGGCCCTTCTTGGAGAGCGAGGGCGTTCCCCCCTCCGCCCAAGCACCAGAAGCAGAACCCACCACTTCTGGTGGGGCTGGCGAGGACAGAGGAGTGTGTACAGTGGGGTGAGTCCTCCGCCTGGGCGGAAGCGTGTCCTCCCCGGGGCCCGTGATCCTGTGCTTGTGTGTCCCCCAGCAGGAATCGGAGCTTGCGGCTACTCGCCGACACCCACACGCTGCCCCAGTTTCCCCTCTTCATCCTTGTTAATGCTTCTGCTCCCGTGCATTCCCTAACGTGTGATCTGGAAGCTCAGACCCGGCCAACGGGCGCCCCTCTTTCCAGCCTGAGTGGGTCCTGTGCTCGGCCCGTCAGACAGACCACCAGCCCCCAGAAGCATGAGTCCGGCTTCCCCCCCCCCCCCCCCCGCTTCCCACCAGCCCTGAGACAGGAGGCCTCACGCTGAGCACAAGCTCCCCGTCTGAGGAGCTGGTGATGGCCTGGGGGTAAGGGGCACACATTAGTCCCTTGGAAACGAATTCTTGCAGTTCCGGAGCCCAGAAGTCCCGAATCAGCATGTGGGCAGGACTGCCCTCCCTCTGCAACCTGCAGGAGAGAACGCTTCCTTGCCTCTTACAGTTCTCTTGCGGTGGCTCTGGCAGTCCTTGGCGTCCTTGGCTTGTGGCGGTGTCCACTCCGGTCTTTCTCCATTTTCATACGCCTCTTTCTGTCCTTTTCTTTCTCTTACAAGGAAACTCTTACTGGATTTAGGGCCCAGGGCGATCTCGTCTCCTTATCTTAGTTACATCTGCAGAGACCCTATTTCCAAATAAGGTCACATTTTGAGGTTCCAGGTGACAAGAGTTTTGGGGGGCACCATTCAACCCACTAGAGACGGGAGACCTGGGTAAGAGCTGAGGGCAGAGACACACACAGGAGACCGGAAATGGAGGGCTCAGGGGTGGCCAGGAGTATGGGCTGAGGGCACGCCTAGGGGGGCTCCACTTAGGGCTGCCATTGGGCACTCGCCTCCGCTGGCTGTCCACGAGGGGCGGGCGTTGTAGCCACATCTAGGGGGACTTGGCCAGGCATGACGGTCTGACCTCACGGCACCCGACCAGGGATCTGGGGCTGTGTGGGCTGGCCAGCCCCAGAGCAATGGGTGAGCCGCCACTGCGTGCACATGTCCTGCCCGCCCCTCCCAATGCTCCTAGACCACAGCCCAGGCCGGCGGAGGACATGGCCAGCCTCCTGGGAAGGCCAGGTGGGTGGGTAGGGTGGAGAGGCCAGGGGTGGGGCGGGGTCACTGGCACCCCATAGGGACCGACCTCCCCTCCCCCCGCTTCCCCCCTCAATGCGGCCCCCCAAGCCCTGAGCCCTGGCTTCTGCTGTCGCTCCGGCATTCTCCGTGAGGGTTTCCCCCCACCCCCCCACGGCCCCCCCCCCGGCACCAGGCACCCTCCTGGGTGGGATTTTGCCATCAGGGGTCTTGGTGGTGGTCTGTGGGGCCAGGGGCTCCAGACAGCCTTTCTCAGCCGCAGGCAATGTTCTCTCCGCCAATCCCGCGGTTGCGGGAGGGGTCCAGCCCTCCCAGTACTGTGTGGCCCGGGCTCCAGCCTGGGGCCTGGAGACCGCTTGCCGGTCTGACCCCCGCCCCTCCCCCACAGTACGGCATCAAGAAGAAGGAAGAGCGTGAGGCCGAGGCCCAGGCCGCCATGGAGGCCAATTCGGAGGGCAGCCTGACGCGGCCGAAGAAAGCCATCCCGCCCGGCTGTGGGGACGAGCCGGAGGAGGAGGACGAGAGCATCCTGGACACCGTCATCAAGTACCTGCCCGGGCCGCTGCAGGACATGTTCAAGAAGTAACGCCCCGGCGCCGGACACAGCCCGCCTGAGCCCGGACCCCCACCCCCGCCGCCCCCCTTGCCTACCTACCCCCTGTACATGCCCTCCTCGGAGGCCCCTGAAGGGATGTCGGGAGCAGAGTGCAGTCCCCCAATGCCAATATAAGCCATAGTCCTAGACCTACCCGCCCCATGCCCCCTCGCGCCTCGGAAGCCTGCGCTCACCTCTCGCCACCAGCCCACTCCCCTCACTGCCATTGCCACCGCCTGGGGGGAAGGGGTGCCCGCCCCCCCCCAGGCCCCCCCCCCCCCCCCCGTGGACCGGCCCACGTGCTCCTCTGGGTTGGACCCTCCTCCCCCAGAGCCTGGGACGTCCCTTACTGCTCCCGCCCTTCACACCCACCCAGCAGTGCCCGAGGCCAGGGCCACCGAAGGGCCAGCATCCAGACCAGCCGTCGGTGCGCCGTCCCTGCGTTGTTGGGCGCTTGTCCCGTCCCAAACTCAGGAGCACAGCCATAGTGGGGGGAAGGCGGGCGTGCGGGCTGGGAGGGGAGCTGCGGCAGGGGTGGGGAGCCTCCCCCACCCCCGCAGTGACACCTGGGCTGCAGGGTCTGAACCCTGCAGTCTGCAGGTTGCCCACCTCCACCTGCACCCCTCACATTGTCCTTCTGTCTCAGCCTGCCCTCCACCCCCCCTTCTCGGCCCACTCCTCTGGAAGGCTTTGCTTCGGACAAATACCAGGACCCGGTTCTCTTCCAAAGGAAGGGAAACCAAGCAATAGGCCTGGGGGAGCTCCGACACGCCCCCGCCCGCCGCCCTGCGCAGCGCGGAACAGTGCAGCCCCTCCCGCGCCCTGTGACTCCCGCCCCTCTGCGTCCGTCCGTCGGCCCAGCCCTCTCCCCTCCCTGGTTGGCACCTCCTATCTTCTTAGCGGAGGCCGCTCTGGGGTCGCGGGCTCCCCTGCCCTCACCCTCTGTGCGCCTGCACCTTCCGCAAGAGCGGGGAGGAGGCTCAGGCCCTCGGATGAGCGCGGCACCTGGAGACGGTCCCTGAGGCCCTCCTCCGCCAGCCAGGTGCGGGCCCCTCGAGGTGGGGACCTGCCAGGTGGCCCCACCTCGGCGCAGGTGGAGTCTGTGGGGAGCCACCGTGGGCCTCCCTGACCCTCTGTCTCTTCATCCTTGTTTTCCTCTGCATCACGATATGTTGAATCTCAGGTAAATGAGGTCTTACGTGTTTGGGGAGTTCTATCGGGACAGAAGGCCCGTCGCCTCGGTGTCCGGGGGCCCCTTTCTGTCCGTGTCACACATTCATCGCGTCCACGTGTTGTGGGCCAGGGGCGCGGCCCCACGTAGCTCTTTAGAGAAGCCATAACAATAGACTGCAATACTACCTTCGGACGCCCTGCGCCCTCCGACTCCTCCCGGTCCCGTGTCTTTTTTAAATGCCTGTTTTCACACGTCAACAAGCCCGCTCCGAGCAGACAGGGCCTTGTCTCGTAGAAACCCCGCATCCCGTTCCCAGCGCATGGGGCGCCCGGAGCCGCCAAGCTTAGCGTAGACCGTGGATGTCGTCCGTCCTTCTGTCCTTGCGCCTGCCTCCTCCTGCATGTGGGGGGCCGCCGCGTGTGTTCTCTCTGGATGGAATCACAGCCAATAAACACGCTAGTGAGTTCACACCGCGTGGCCCTTCTCTCCGGAGTCCCGAGGCCCTCGCGGGCGGCCGACGTGGGCAGACTGGGAGGAGGGCCCGGACCCTGTCGGATGAGCCTCACTTAGTCCGACGTGCTGCCACATAGGAAGTCCCTTCCCCTCTTGCTGGGACGACTGCGGGGTCTCCCCACCGCCCTGACCCAGATTCACCCGTTGCCCCTAAGGCAGCCCCAGAGTAATCATCTAAAAGGCAGACCAGTGCCTCTGGGGCTCCCTGCCCCCTCCCCTTTGGGGCTCCCTGCCTCCCTCTCCCTCCCCCCTCCTTCCATGAGCCTCCTGCTTGCCCAGACCCCTTGACAGGCCTTGTATTCCCCACAGCTATGCCAGGCCGTTGGGGGCTCAGTTCCCCACTGTGCCAGCCATACTTTAGGCCAGCCCCCCCCCCCCCCCCTTAAACTCCTGCACAGCCCTGCGGGTCCTGCCTCTAGTCTGTCCTTTGGTGACCATCTCTCCTCCCCGTGTCCTCAGGGAGGCCTCTGTGCCCTGCTGGAGCTCTGGGTCCCACCCTCACCCCCTAGGGGAGCCTGCCCATCTGGGCTGGTGCTTGTGGAACTGCCAGCTCTCTGGCCTGGTGGTGGGCCCCCACCACGTCCTTCCTACACCCAAAGCCCACCCAAGGTGCTATGATTACTTGTATCCTCAGAGAGGACTGTTTGACCTCCACTCTGAGGGCCTCGTGATTTTCCTTATACTGCTGGCCAGGAGTGCTTTTGGCCCAGTCTTGGCTCCTCCCCCACTCTTGCCCCCTGCACCCTCCCCACTGGGCTGTGCCCCCAAGGCTGCTCGCTCTAGAGCCACCGCTCCTCTGCCTCGGCTTCAGAGGCTGGGTGGGTGGGTGGGGGGGGGGTCTGGGAGGACCTGCCTCTGGGGAACGTCTGGCCTCAGCCCCAAGTACCACCCAGGGTGCCTTGTGGCTCCTGAGGCTCCTGAGGGAGCCACTGTCCACCCTCCCTCCTTGGACCCAAAACACTGACAGAGGTTCATGCAGCCCACTGTGTCTTTGGGCTCTGCATGCCACCCCCCGCGTGCCAGTCTTAGAAGGGCACCCAGGGGCACCTGGGGGCTCAGTCGGTTAGGTGTCCAACTCTGGATTTCGGCTCAGGTTCGATCTCGCGGTTCAGGAGTTTGAACCCGGGGTCGGGCTCTGTGCTGACAGTGCGGAGCCTGCTTGGGATTCTCTCTCTCTCTGCCCCTCCCCTGCTCTCTCTCTCTCTCTCAATACATAAATAGACATTAAAAAAAAAAAAAAAAAAAAAAGGAGGGTAACCGAAAACGGCATCAACCATTCAGCCTCCACTCCCCTCCCCACCTCTCCAGCCTGGCATGGGCTAGGTTCAGTCCTGAGCAGCAACGTGGATTTGCCAGGTGACCCGGCACGCCTTCCCTCTGAACGCTGGCCAGCCCTTCCGCAGTGACTGGTGGGTCAGACCCCTCAGGTGAGAGTGTCTGAGGACTCCAGGTAAAGGTATTTGTCCGCTTGATTTTTACTGAGTCCTGCGATGTGCCGAGCGGGGTGTTACGCACCAGGGATAACTGAGGTCCCTCCTCCTGGAACTCATTTTTCCAGTGGCAGGAGAGAGATGATAAAAAAGTAAATCAAGTGATTTCTTCTGCGGAGGAAACTGAGTGAGATAAGGGGGCAGACAGGATGGTGAGGATCAATATTTCACCTCTGAGGAGGTGCAGAGAGACCCCAAGGAGAGGAAGAGGGAGCCCTGGGGGACTTCCATGGGACAGCACTCCAGACAGAGGAACAGCCATGCCCAGGACCCTGAGGCAGGAGCTGCCCCGGGCCCTTCCGGCCGTGACTGTGACTCGGCTGACCACGGCCTTGCTCAGGATGCTTGTTTTAGGTCCACATTGACTTCAGCAGAGTCTCCCCTTTTTGCGCGTTAAGTCTTTAGACGAAGCAGAGCACGCGGTGATACCCGGCGCCCTCCCACTTGCAGGCAGGCAGGTCCTGCCAGGTCCTGGCCTGGTGACCTCCCGCCCCTGGTCCCTACCGGCAGCCAGCCCCAGGCGGGTTGGGTTTCCTGTCTCCTGTCCTCTGGAGTCCTGCACTATAGGAGCTACCGACACCCACTTAAGTACACGGCGGTCGGGACAAAAGTGTAGAGGTCTGGCAGTAAGGACGCTTTGGTCCAGCCGCGCTAATCCGCAGCTAGACAAGCCCTGCTGTCCAGTCACAGCCAGCGCGGCTCAGGGAGCCCGGTCCCGGCCACCTGTCCACACAATGTGGAACCGTCTCCACCTGTCTCAGCAGGTTCCCTCAGGCCTGAAGGGCGGGGTCCTGTCGCGGTGGAGCGGGGGTCCCAGGGGCGGGTGGGGGATCGGCGCTGGGCTAGGGGCGGGATTGCGCTGGGGGCTGGGGGCCGAGCTGGCGCCGCCCAGGACCCCGGCAGAGGTCCACTCGGGGCCGCGCCAAGACGACGCATCTGGGAGCCACAGCCCGGCCGGTGCAGCATAGCCTCCGCCGCCCGCAGTCCCCTCTGGTCTCTGTTCCCGCCCACCTGGCCGGCCTGAGCCAATAAATGTGTGCTAGGTAGTCCGCCACTATTGGCTCCTAGAGTGTCACGTGGCGGGAGACTGGCCAATCAGAGCCGGGGAGGCGCCAGTGTGCGGCTCCCGGCGATCGGGGGACGGCCCGGCGATCGGGGGACGGCCCGGCGCCGGGTCCCCCCACTGTTCTCCCGAGGCCCGCGCGACCCTTCCCCCAGTGTTCCCCGAGTCCTCCGCAGGCCGCAAGGGGCGCACGGCTGGGAGGCGGCCGCGGGTCCTGGGCGGGAGCAGCCGCCGGGAGGCCGGCACCGGAGAGCGGACACGTCCGGGCTGCCACGTGTGGCTCATCCTCGGTCGCGACAGCACAGTCTCTGCCCTTCGCCCAGGGGCCGAAGCCAGCCCGGGTGGGGTCGTCCTTCCTGCTGCCCCCAGACCAGTGGCCAAGGCCGCCGCCTGTGGGGGTACGAGGAGGCCCGGGAGGCCCTAGCTGGCCAAGCAGAGGTCCGTGCGGGTCTGAGGGCAGGGCCTGGGGCAAGGGGTGCAGGTGGCAGTGACCGAGGCTGGCCGCCGGGTCCACGCTGCAGCCCGAGGCGCAGCAGGTCGTTAGCGGGCACACAGGGTCCTGCGCGGTTCACACTGGAAGGTGAGGCAGGCAGCGTCCTCCTGCTGGTCCCGCGTCCCCGCTTCGGGGCCCTGCCCAGGGCTGAGCCCCAGCCCCCAGGTGCCAGTGGTGCCCAAGGTGATTTCTCTCAGCCCGAGGACAAGGCGTGCGAGTTGAGGGTTAGTTGATTTTTGCAAAACAAAACCCTTATTTCTTGCACCCTTGAGTGAGTCCATGGGATTTATCCTGCATAGGGACAGAAAAGGACTTTGTGGGGAGGGAGGTGAGTGGTGTGGCCTGGCTAGGGAAAGGCCTGGACGGTGGGTGTCTCCCTCTCTCTCTGCTCCTCCCCTGTTCATGCTCTGTCTCTCTCTCCTTCAAAAATAAATAATCATTTTAAAAAGTAAAAAAAAAAAAAAAAAAAAAAAAAAGGAACAAACCTTTGGTGCAGTGGCAAAGAGAGGAGGGCCTTGTGCTCTGTGTCCACTTGGCCAAAAATCTGAATTCTCTCCAAGGAGGCCTAGACTCCAGGGTCCATCAGTCAGAACTCAGCCTCTGGTCACACGTTTCCACTAGGCCCTGACCTTGGGGCTCAAGCAGAGGGGGACACCCCATCACACCTAGCCCCCTCTCTCACCCACCCAGGAATGGGCCTGGCTGGAACTTCCCAGCTAAGACGGATGATTGACACTGGGCACGGGTTCTCTCTCCTGTTAATTCTTCCTACGCAGAGCAGAAATAAATAGACAATCAAAATTCACCCACCAGGAGACATTCACCTATGACTGGGGCAATAAATATACACGATGGGCCTGGAGGCAGGAAATGCTAAATAAAAACAAGGGTGGGACATGTCAAAGGCACAGACACAGCACCAACTGGCCGAGCTCTCGGTGACCAAAGGTGCGACACTGAACAACACAGGCAGTGTTGGGTTACAACTCGAGTATGGAATAAATACCCATTAGTCCACACTGATACGAATGAGTGAATAAACAAAGTGGGGAGGAGAGAGAAATCCGCCATGCAGGATTCTAAATAGTTTACGCAGACACGGCCTTTAAGGAGATGGAGTAACCCCCTCACTGTAAGTCCTGCACAGTGACTTCCTTCCAAAGAACACAGTGCGGAAAAGGGGTGAAAAGACTAGCTTATAGGGAGAAACCTGATAAAGCCACCATGGACCATGGACCATGGACCATGGACCAAGACCCTAACCTAGCAGGAAAAACCTCAAGAAAGAACATAGCAAGAACATGAACTCAATAAAATTCAAAGTTCTGAGGGAAAGAACCTGTGGCTCGAGATCTGATTTGAGAATAAAGCACTTAACACATCTCTTCAGTAAAGAAGCGGCTGAAAATCAGAAAAAGATACAGAGGATTTCATGCAATTAGCTAAATCTGTACTCAACTGAAAAATGCATATTCTGTTTTTAAAAAAATGTTTAGGGGGGGGGGGGGACAGAGGATCCGAGGCAGGCTCTGCATTGACAGCGTAGAGCCCAATGCAGGGCTCGAACTCATAAACTGTGAGATCATGATCTGAGCCAAAGTCGGATGCTTAACCAACTGAGCCCCCCAGGCACCCGTGTATATTCTTTTAAAGTTCACACGAATATTTACAAAAATTACTGCTGATTAGGCCATAAGCTTGTCCCAACAAAATTCATGGGGTTGTCACAAGACAGAACATGTGGTCTAGCCTCAGGGCAACTAATCCGAAGATCAACAACAAAGATAATTAGAAACACCCATAGGCTTGGAAATTAAACTTGTAAATTATTTTAGGCCAGAGAAGACACTGAAATGGACTGCTGTGTGTTTAGTTTGTCATTAGTGACCAGTGAGAGAATACGCATGCG